GGTGGCTGTACCCCGTAACCATTGTGGTAGTTGATAGAGTGTCTTGGCTGGATGCAGCCACTCGCTCGAGAAGCTCGTCCTGCCGCGTCAGCTGCGGTGGCTTAGACACGTATTGCGCATGACCGTCTATTGTCATCTTCGTCGGGTGTTGTTCGCGGTTGCTGAACATGGCTGGAGTAGGCGACGCGGTGGACAACATACGGCTTAGAGAAGCGGTATGAAAAAGGTAACAAAACAGTTGGCCTCGGTCGGTTTTCCTTGGTTCCCAGGTTTGGCTTTCAGGGATACAGAGTGTCGCTGCTTGCAGACCCTGGATGTCATAGCTCAAGACCGATGTTAATGTCGAACATGTATCTTTGCGCGTTTCGGTGATTTCCCTTACCTTCCAAAATAAAACCAACAATTAAAAGCTCAAAGACCGTAAGTGAAATACTGGACAGAAAGTTGCCTGGTTTATCTTATTCCGATCCTGACCTTCTATGCCGCTATAATTCCGATGACACAATATCTGTGATCTTGTTCCGATACTTTACGTGACAAACGCAATTGGTACCACCGAACTTCTTTCTCTCGTCTCATCAAATCACGCTTAAATTTTGTATGTTGCTGCGTTCTCTATGAAATTGATTACCACGCGAGGCAGCAAACTCTTCATTAATATTACCCTATCATCTCACGATAGTCGGCGGTTTGTGACGGTGACTTCTTGACACAAGTTGAATATGTCTTGTATCATTTTCCTTCACATAAAGTGACCTTTTATCGATTATGTCCTTTAGTTGTTTTACAACTGCATGTCATGGAGACACCAGCGCGAAAAATTGATGCTGTTATTGCTGGGGATGATGATATTGAAGTAGTCTGGTTTTTCAATTCTGCTTTCTCCTTAACCGAGTGTGTTAAAAGTGAATCTCTGATATCTGTTGTATTGGGTAACCTTGGTGCATTACTTATACAGGTGGTTCGTCTTCTTTGCATTTCTTTTTGTCTGCTTCTCGGCGCGCCTCAAGTTTGATCCGATCCGTTTAGCTACTGTCACACACGGATTCATCCGGACACACAAAACCTCATGTGCTCTCGGTTCACTTGCTTTTTCCTTACAACCTTTCATTTCTTCCCTCTAGACTTTTTACCAGTTGGTCTTATCAAGATGTAGTGCATAGGTGCTCTTTTTTCCTTTTTCTGTGTCTCTTCACGACTCACAGTTTCTCCACTCCTTATCCTAGCCCGCCGGGTTCCATCTCTGATTAAAGCTATACTTGACCTTTTCCATTACTGTCACAATTGGAATTACTTATTTAACTAGTCCACACCATGTTAACAGGTATGAGCACACGGTTTTTTGTTAGTGCATTTATTCTATACAATGCCTATATTTGTCCTCTTTTCTTTTTTGAATACCTACTGAACTTTTCTTATAACAATTTCTTGATGCTCTGGCCGTCGCGCCCGGTCTGCTTTATTGAGCAGGGTGGATAGAGGTTTAGATCATATTGCTCAGGCCTTCCCGTCTTCTTATCCCCCTTCTTGCACTTTTTCCTCCTCAGCGTCCCACTCCAACTTTACTTTTATCCCCCCCTCCTTTTCAAACCCCCAATTCTTGGCCCTTACCCACCTTACTTCAATAGTCGCTTGTCTTCTAGTTTCAACTGACACAGTTGCAGGGCGTCGCTCGGATCCAAGCGGACAACGTCAGTTCATCCGTTTTCCTTTGGAGTCCTCAAGATTCGCTAAAGCTGGCATGCCTCAGCTTGCGCACTTTGCTCCAGATCGGCCAACAGGCAGCACTTGCCCGCACACTAGAGACCCTATCGATCGATATTTGCTGTTTATCAGAAACCCGCCTGCCAGATTCGAGCTCCGTGCTTACCCTGATATCCCCCACATGCGACACTGGCGGCACATTCTCATTGCGTCTGTCTGACGATGATGCAGCTTCAAATGCCGGTCAAGCTGGCGTCGTCATTGTTTTGAGTTCTCTTGCTGAAACTGCCCTGATCGATTGGATCCCAGTAAACAGTAGGATGTGCGCCGTTAGATTAGCTGGTTCGTTCCATGCTAGGAAGTTGCGCGGGAACAAACGATGCCTGTTTGTCATTGCAGCCCACACCCCTACAAACTGTACCACTGATTCAGTGAAAGATGATTTCTATCAGTAACTTCACGATTTCCTTCGTTATAGAAGAAGCACGGCTGGCGATCCAAATGTCCAAGTCGGAAAATTATCTGCTGAGCTTCATCTGGGTGACCAACATGGTGTAGGCTCCCGTAATGACAAAGGTGAGTGATTGCTACAGCTGTGTGAAGATGATCGTCTCTTTCTCGCGAGCACAAACTTTCGACACAGCACCCTCAGGAACTTGAAATGGCACCCACCAGCCTCGCACCAGCCATGGACGCAAATCGATCATATCGCGATCAGTTACTGCTGGGGAGGATGTGTCCAAAGCTGTCGCTCGACTTGGAGCACCAGCGTGGATACTGACCACGCACTTGTTTGCGTCGACCTCCGGGTGCGTTTCGGTGGAAGTCTACAACGTCGATGTGAACGGATTGACACCAACCAGCTGGCGAAACTAGATGTTCTGAATGTGTATCAAGGTGCGCTAACATCCAGGCTGAGTAAACACCCACTGAACACCGTCAAAGATCAATGGATGCATATTCGCCAAACGTTCCTATCCGCAGGCATTTCTTCACATGGCAAATCAAATTGCCAAATTGGACATTGGGTCTGTCTCTGGAACTTATGGATGCTCGCCGACGTATTCCGGCTGGAAGCGGATACAATGAGGCTCGCAAAATTCTCAGGTCAAAACTGCGTGCTGGCCTGAAGAAAGACCGCGAAGTTTGGTGGTCTCATCTAGCCTCAGAAATGGAAACAGTCGCTACCGTTGGTAATCTTCGTAACTTCTTTCGACTGATACGGGAAACAGGCAGCAGGAGACCTGGTGTTAACGAGACCATACGCGACGAGAGTACGCAGTCGATCCACAGCCTGTCAAAACGCTTGGAGCGTTGTGCCGAACACTTTGCAAGACAATTTAACCAACCTGAGTAATCGCTTTTTCTCGCGCATTGAGCGCCCTCCTCCCTGGACTGTCTCCTTGCATCCGCCCTCCCGCGCGGAAGTCGAACGTGAGATCAGGCTGTTGAAATTGCATGAGGCCGCAGGGTCAGATAGATTTCCTCTAGTCTTCTTCAATTTCGGGGACCTGCTCTAGTAGATGATTTACACGAGCCGATAGTGAAACTGTGGGAGCAGCAAACTGTCCCGACAGATGAGCTGTTCCCTCATAGTCGCAATTTTCAAGCGAGACCCCTTCGGAATGCGACAATCATAGGGGATCAGTCTGATATCAATTACCACTAAATTGCTTGCTTCTGTCATTCTCCATAGACTGACCGGCACTCGCGAAAGCCAGATTCGTGAAAAGCAAGCCGGGTTTCGTCGAGATCGGGACTGCACGACCACATCTTCATTTTGTGTTAATTGTTGGAGCACCGCCATGCTTTTTAGGCGACCCAACATTGTCATGTTTCTTAACACAAAAGGTTCCTTCGATTCGATGGATCGATGTACCCTTTGGGACTGTTTGCTGAGAAAAGGTGTGCCTGATAAATACCTAAGCATTATCAAAGCGCTGTACGCGCATACTTCCGGCAGGGTTAGGGTTTGTGGTAAACTGTCGCCACCATCCAGTATCACCAGCGGTGTGAGACAAGGTTGCTCGCTGTCACCTTTCCTATTCAACTTCACTATTGATGAAGTCATGGAAATAGCGTTCGTTGGACACGACCTAGGTGTGGAGCCACTTCCTGATGAACGACTTCTTGACTTGGAATACGCGGACGATATTGCCCTAATCTGTGACAGCTCCCAAACATGCCAAGCAGCACTGGACCGATTAGCACTGGCTGTCAATCGTTTTGGGCTGTGCTTTGCTCCATCGAAATGCAAAGTACTTCTCCTAGCTTGGCGGGGACCTACCCTTGCGCTAACGCTTGGTGGTGATCTGCTGGAAGTCGTTTAGGAATTCAGGTACCTGGGCAGCTATATTAGCGCCCATGGGATCGAAGACGAGGTTACGAACCGTATAGCAAAAGCTCGAGTTGCTTTTGCCAATTCGCCATCTGTGACACAGACGCGACATTCGCTCTGAAGGGTAGAGTTCATAACGCAGCCGTCCGTTCAACTCTCCTGGCCCATCAGGTCGACAGACATAAAGAGGCTCATCACATTCGATCATCGCTGCCTTCGCAGGTGAGAGCACCGTGTGAGCAACGAGCGTGTTCGTCATCGCGTATTTGGTGCAGGAAGAGCGAGTGAATCGCTCAGCACCATTATATCACGCACCAGGCTCCGATGGCTGGGTCACGTGTTGCGCATGCCAACACACTGAGTCCCGCGACGTACGTTGTTTGCTCGCCGGGGGCACGGTTGGAAGATTAGGATGGGAGGCCAAGCGAGGTCTTGGTCTTGAGTATTTAAAATCCTCACTTCAAAACTGTCTTCGCTTGGTGCATCCCGACTGCCTGGCTGAGTTTCTAAGGACGATAAACACGTTTGGTTGGACTCACTTGCTGATATGGCTGAGATCCGGCCCCAATAGCGTTTAAGTTGTGAGTTCCTTTATCCACCCCTCTCCTGCCTAGCCTCCTCTCCAATCCGGATCTCCTGCAAAACGCATAATATAATATTTAACAGTATACTTTTATAGCGTGATTTGTAGTGTAATTTTCTAGTTTCTTATCTTTTTGTATTGCGTCACATTAGCTGGAGTGTCTTTCTCATCCTCAGTTAACGTGTACTGATAGTGATGAATCAGGAGGACCAGCGATCTCATTTTTGCCTCTCTTAACTGCCGTATCTGCACGTTTCCTTTATTTTATAACCCCATGTGTTCTACTTCTAGTTCACTGTCTCTGCTGTTGATCATATTTCTTTATCCAAATTCGACTTGTAAACGCAATGGAGTTTATATTCGTTTTTACTGCAGTGCAGCCTTGATGGACAGTTGAAACAGTGGCGCATGGATCATGATAACATCGATTCCTCTTGGTCATCACCATTGACTTCTGTCCTGCTAAAGTGGGCCCCATATTGCATAGACCACCACCCCACTGCCGACGAATTACTCATTGGAAGCTCGGAATCTTGCCTGCTGTACAATGCGCAACGCATGGACGTCCCCATTCGCGAATGGACCTGGGGTCAAGAGCCTGTTCACTGCGCCAAATTTAATCAAGTGGAGCACAACGTTATATGTGCCCTTTCGAAGGACAACTCTCTGATGTTAATCGATAGCAGGAATGACCAACCCACCAGAAAAGCAAGTTTTCTCTCTGCACTTGCAAACCGTTTTCTTTGTTGGTACAAATAGTTCTCGGTTTAATTTATATCCATAATTTTTACCCATGTAGTGCTTTGTCAATTATCTACATTATAATGGGCCCTAAGGTGAAAATCAGTAAACGGCAGCTCACCAACGTCGGAATACGTTTTAACTTGTTTGACAATCTTGCTCTATTATTTTTATCTTTTGTGTCACCGGAACGTGGGATTTTGACGCCTTACTTTCTGTCTTTGAACAGGATCGGCCTGAACGGTTGCCTTTAAAATATAATAACTAAATGAAATAAATAAAATTTTTTATTTTCGACAAGCAAGGCACGTCTTTACAGGCATGATCATATTAAGATACCAAAGCGTGATCAAACATGTAGAGAAATATACCCTGTTTGCCGTAAAAGGGAATGTTTGTGTAGGATTATGTATAGCTATGAAATTGTGTATCTGTGTAGTTGTGCAGTTTCTGCTTGTAATTTTGCCGCTGCATCCTTGGCTTTGTGATAACGTCAGCAATCTGAGAATAGGTGATTGATGTTCGTGTGTTTGATATGATTATCCGGATATTCACGGAGCAGTGACTTCAGTTTGTGGCTAATCACGACCGCCACATCAAAATGTTGATAACAGACATTTGTGGCTTTTTATAGGGAGAACGCTTACCAGGCGAAACTCCCACGTTCTGAAACACTGCCGCCGAACTATTTGTTGGAACGGGTTAGACCCGAAACACCCAGCTGACACCACGAGGAGACTGTTCGGTCCGACAATTTCACTCCCCAGTTACTCAATTTTGGTGTCGATTTACTCTTGATTCGCGCGAACGCCTCATGCTTCACCGTTTGAATGCATGCATTTATGTCAGCTGTTGCTAGCCTCCTACATCTTCGAAGGGGATCACACGTTTATGAGGGAATCATTCTCCTTACTACATATATCTTCAGCTTGCTTAGAGACGTCCTATTCCCCTGAGACGTTCGTCCCATTAAGGTGCTATTCGGCGTCGAAGTCAGTACATTTCAGTGTGTCAAGGAGGATCCGTGCACCAAAGTGCAGTTGATCAAGTTGCCTTTGCATACACCATAATTCAAGAGAAAGAGCTAAGTGATACTACTATCGGATGGTATAGTTCCTAGTTTGAAACAGGGAATAGCCGGGCAATTAACTTTGTGACCTCAGTATGTCCGCTATATCCACTAATGTGGCTGATTTCGTGGACCCCATTCACGAACTCGACAGGCACCAACCCGGCTCAGCCTTTCACCTTCTTGCTTTTACCATATCAATGGCTGATCTTCTCGGGTTTAACCCAACATCACATTATTGTCAAATCACGCACGCAGACATGTGGAGCACGTGACCTAATCGTAAAAGGCGATTGGAGTTCAACAGGCTCTCCGATGAGGCACCAGAAATTTACTGATAAAAACCATACCACTCACTTGCTTTACCCACCCGATATGAGCAACTCTGTGCCAGTTATCTGTGGTCACACATGGTCAGTCTGTACATGTCCTCAGCTCGCAGCGACCAGGTTTTTGATTCTTACTACACCACTGACCGCATCGCAGCGTTATACGTCCTTTCCCCAACCGTTAAGCTTATGTCTTGCTGTCCCGGAAGTTACTGGGCCTCAGCAGCGTGTGCAACTACCTTTTCGTCTTTAGGATCACCTGACATGGTACAGCCACCCAAGTGAGTGAACCGATCTATCATTAAGAGGTTGTTCAGCAATACTGTGAACTAGGGATGAGTTGACTAAGCCCTGTGACAGTACTTTGCCAAGCACATACCATAGCGTGAGGCGCTTGCGAAGCAGTAGCGTCTGCATATTCTAAGTTTGACATTCAATCGTCCAGTAGGACACCGGTCCAAGAGAATTGCAAACACACGGAAGGGCCCAGCTATTGCATATGATTTGCTAGCTTTATTATGGAAACTAGGAGCAGGCAAATGTGTCAACCGACTATAGCTGCTTTGTCATTCTATCGATCTTCAAGGGAGTGTGCTAACTTTTGGGATGCGGCGATCATGGAGGTAACAACGTTCTCTCCACCGCTTCCAAGTTGCCTGCTACTCTCGCATTTCACAGATTGACTGGTGCCTACAAAAGCCAGAGTCTTGAGGCGAAGGCCGGGTTTAAACGAAATTGTGACTGCATTTATCACTTCTTTACTTTGTGCCAATTATTCTGTCACTGTCACTCATATTGGTGATCTACCATTATCGTCTTCATGGACATCAATAGTGCCTTTGATTCGATGAACCAATGTACCATTTGGGACCATCTGTTCAAGAAATGTGTGCCCGATAAATATATGGGCGTAGTCAGAGAGTTTTACGAGGGGATGTTCAAAAAGAAAATGAACTTTTGCTTTAGCACCTTTGTTGCTCATTGCACAACATTTTAAGCACTTTCCCCCTCAAACTAGTCCCTGTTGCTGGCAATACACCGTTCCCAACGATGCTCCCATTTCCTGTAAGTCTCCTGGAATGCATTTTATCTCATGGCGCGCAGGTCTATTGTTGCATTGTCCTGAATCTCCTCTATGGTTTGGAAGCAACATCTTTTTAACGTGGCTTTAACTTTGGGAAACGGGAAAAAGTCTACAGGGGATAGGTCTGCAGAATACGATGGATTGGGCACGACGGGAGTATATTGTTTGCTAGATAGCTGCGGACAAGCAGTGATACGTGAACCGGCGCATTGTCATGATGCAACACCCAAGTTTGGTTTTCTCACAGTTCAGGCCTCTTCTTGCGCACAGCATCTCTCAAACGTGTTCTAATTTGATGGTAGGATCCTATGCTTATGCACACTTCGTCAGCAACTTCTCCAACAGTTAAACGGCAATGTCCACGGATCACAGCACGAATTCCCTCGACATGATCATCGTCTGTTGATGTGGAAGGCCGTCCAGGCTTGGAATTGGCACCGACCCACATCCTGCTGTGTTCAAAACAATTAAACCACTCATAGCATTGCGTGCGACTTATACACTCCTCCCCGTATGCTTGGCTAAGCACTTTTAATCTCTCCGTAAAACCTTTGCCAAGTTTGTGGCAAAATTTCACACACCTTATTCTTCAAGCTATTTCATTGGGCTTTTGACACTAATCCAACGAACAGTTTGTGCACGTGCTCACTTCAGCGGCTGTAGCTCCCCAACCAACAGTAAGAGCGAAATGCGACAAATGACAATTCTTTGTCCAAGCAATGCATCACATGCGCTCAGTTGCCGCAGCGCGCTCGCTCTCCTGATTGCTGCGCTATTTTCAGTTCATTTTCTTTTTGAACACTCCTCGTACTCCCGTAGCTCGGGCAGAGTGAGAGCTTATGACAAACTGTCACCGCTCTTCGCTATCTCCAGCGTTGTGCGACGAGGGTACTTGCTGTCACCTTTCCTTTTCAACTTCTCGGTTAGCGAAGTTAAGGAAACTGCGTTCACTGGACAATGCTTAGAAGCGGTAACGATGCACCGTGATCATACGGTACTCCACACCGTCAGTGACAACTACACATTCTTCCAAATGTTGCCTCAGTTCACTCTAATTATTACGGACAATGTGCTATGCTAGAAGGTTGAGAAATAAATTTTTTAACCTCTTCACTGTGCCTTTCAACAACTAACCGTTATCTGGACTGTTTTTTCCCGACATCGTCTCCTCTCCAGTTTTACGTCACTCCATTTCCTCCATCTGACCTTCATATTAGTAACAATGGGAGCTTTCCATCGCCAACTATTCCACAGCTTTATTCTATTTCTTCGTGAACACCCGTCTCTGTGGAAGGTCATTTGAGTTGATGTTTTGTACTTATCCTATTATGCTCCTGCCAGTTACACCACCCCGTTACCCGTTTGTCTAACGCATGGGTTTTGTTGTCGTGACTAACGTCTCAGTGGGTTGGTCCAGTGCTACTATGCCACATCAACGCTCAATATTCTCCTCTGTACCGTAATAGTATTATACGTCTTTGCTAATTACTCTACACTTGTTGACATGCTTACTACGTGACCTACTGTATACTGAGTATAGAGAGCTAGTAGATCTATACCTGTGTTGCTCCATCTCATTTGGATCAGGCACGTGCGCGAAATCAAGCCAGTGGTTCCTGCGAGTTTACAGCAAATTACAGATGCACCATAGGCTATTCGAGTGCGATGCGCTCCCTAAATATGAGATCCGCAAACTAGGTGTCTACGAGTTGCTTGAAATCCGACGCCAATTTCTCCTCGACTATTTTCGCAGGCAAACTGTACCAACATTTCACCACTTGCTGCTCGAATCAAAGTGGGTGAGAGCTATTCGCTTCAGGTCCGGTACCACAAATTTGTACCGGTGCGCGCGAATGCTGCTTGGTGCGCGCACTTGCAGCAGCGACCTTAGTATAAGGATGTCATCCAGGTGTAATATCCGTTGCATCATTATAATGTCCACTCGAAACCGACGATACGATAGTGCGAACAGCCCTAGTCGTCTACATCAGTCTTTCTGCGACATACCCCGTAAATTGGAATGAGTCTGGTAGTTACATGCTGAACACATCCCAGTCTCTGCACTTCGCCGCAGGTGATCGAGCAATAAGCAGGTGATTCGGGTTCTAGCATCGGTTTGATGATGAAAGAGAAGAGGCGCGCTACAATCCTTTCAGACCATATGCAGAAGCTGTGTTCGAGCCCCCTAAGCATTCACAGTCCATTTCCATATAGCTTGTTCGTATTATCTACGGAATTCAAATCACTGAATGTGAGTACGTCGAGATCATTTACGGAAGTTGTAAGATGTAGCGGTTGGCCGGCCAGAGCGTACGTACTTCCACTATCACATTTCCCAAGGCTCATTTATAACGATTTGACTGGGTTGACTGGCAGATCGACTTCCGCAGACCACATGAACTGTCGGTCGAGATCGTGGTGAAGTACATCGCAGTCTTCGGGAGCATCAACTACTCCAAGGTCGTCTGCAAACAATGCGCAGGGC